AAAAGCAACCCGCATTGAGGTTATCCAAATGTTTATTGCCGATTCTCAATAGTCAGTAATCATTTAAATAATATTATAGAATATCATCTCATTTTATGCGATAAATAATGCGCGATTACATTTGTTTTGAGATCAAAAATCGAGTGCATATTGTGGAAAAAGGTACCATCAGCTATATCCAGTCCATCGAATCTTTAACAATAAAAACATAATATTATAATAATAGCCACACTTACATGAAATTGTGGTTAAAATGCGGGTCCCCTATGCAGTTGTAGGTTGTTGGTTCATATTTTATATTTTCCGGTAAGTAGGTATACTACGTATATATATATGTATATAGTACTGTAACGATCGTTTTTTACAAAATTAAAATAATACGTATATTTCCTATAGTGGTAGCAAGAAGACTTCCGAACGGTTTATAACAACCAAAAATACACAACTCGTTTTAATTGCATGAGAAAACACTGGCGCATTATCTCGAACAACGACAATAATAATATAATTATAGTCTCTCGGGGTAAGTTATAAATGTGTCTCTTTCACACGAAAACGGTCTGTTCGGAGTATAGTAATGACTGTAATTTGTTCCGCGGCGAAAAAAATAATAAAATTCAGACCTTCGAATAGAAATGTTCTCAGACACGAACTTCCCCGACAGTGCCTTGGTCTGCCCCGCTGTGACAAGTCTTCCAAGACCGGCGGCCGGACGTGGATATCTACACAGCGATAACAAGAACCGCTTAAGTTGAATTGAATTTTCTCACACACACACACACATACACAACCACAGGCAGTTTTCGGTGACCGTCAATCGAGCTGAAAACATAAACAGAAGAGAACGACGGAAAATCGACAATCCCCGTGCCCGGACTTAGGCTGAGGTCTCTTAACCCCTTTTTGATGTCGAACTCATCAATCATTCGGACGACCTCCCGGGGAGAATCCGCAAAACACGGTCGCGAACATTATCATCGCCGTCGCCGCCGTTTGTGCGGGTACCCTGTATTATTTCTATATACATAATAATAATATACACACTTACATACAGGCGGCCCACATGCCAACCTCGTAAGAATGACTAGCGGTTTTTTCCGCATAAATCCGCAGTAGATTTGTACAATATGCGTTTTCACCCCCGTCACCAAAGCCTAAATAATAATATATTACATTATGTAAACGTGTGTTGTGCTATAAAAGAACTCGCCGCATAACCCTTTATGGCACGGTACCGAACCTAAATAGTAAACTGCAATAATAATCGAAACCGTCATGCAAAATACCCGTTTGCCCCCAAAATCCAAAGTACCATTATCAAAATCAAAATGCATTAAAATGAATACTCCCGATTTCTATTAACTGGCTCGCAAATCGTCACGTTTGTAATAATAGTAAAGTTATAGTATTTTTTGTTATGTATTTAAATTTTAAATAAATATTTAGCCATTTATGGATTTCATCCTCGTTTGTGCCAAAAGTCAAATCGAATGATATGAAAAATAGCTAATTAAAACGGGTCAACATTTCTCTGGTTTTTGGTTTGTATAGTAAAGGTGTTTTGAGATCAATACTTCCAAAATTAGTTAGCCTTTTATTGCTCGCGGTAACGAGTTATGTGTTTGTATATGCGTCAGAACTTCCATTCAATTTCGTTGAAATCGTCACCCTGCCGCTACAAAGCCTGTTTGCGATTCTAAACGATTTAAGAGGGAGAGGTTAAAAAAGATTCAAGAAAAACGGCCGTACACATACATAATATAATAGCGTTGTATGCTCAGCTTCGTCTGCGCGTGAGCTTTGAAACGGTATATAAATTATAATGGCAAGTAATGCGTACGACGAATTTCCGGTGTGCCCTGGCTGAGCCGTGTAGTATATTACATTATGTATAATGCGTATGGACACGCCGTGGGCATTCAAAATTTTATTAAAAGCGACGGGGGGAAAATACACATATTATAAGTATAATATAAAAATGACCCGTAAACCACCTGTGCTCACGAGACAGCCACAGCCCGTTCATAGGTACCTTGTAGTACCTATATAAGGCTGTATTACTACTATATATATATATATATATATGTATATACTCTATATTCACACTCGCGGGCGTATAGTACACTACACACACACACACCTGTTTCGGACGTCCGAAACTCAATTTAACACGATGATTTCCAAGCCTATTGTTACCGCGCTTTCGGTCATGTATATTGTAGTACTATTACTGTAGACGTTATTGTGGACTGTGTGTGTATCCGTTTGCCACCGCCAAGGAAGCCCTTTGAAAACGTTCAAACCGCAAATCGAACCCGCACACAAACGCACACGACCTGTCGTCGACGGTTGATCGAACGGCTCAGTTTATCCAGTATTTTAAGACGGTATGCCTCGGTATATGCGCGACCAATTATTGTTATTTGTACATCGCTCGAACCCCCCCCCCATACCTCTTCCAGCCTAGCAAATGCAGGATATAAAAAAGTATAATAATAATAATAATAATAATAATATAGGTAGGTACCGGAACTAACTGGTAAACGCGTTCGGGTGAATAAAGGTTATGGCCGTGTGTGTGTATAAGTCTCTCCCTTATAATATTATATATATTTTTAACGAATAGTTTTCACACAAAATTACGAAACGCGAATCGTATTTTTATTTATTTTTTTAATTGCCCCACTGCGAGTTTGGCAACTGTCACGGGTCGTAAAATCCACATATTATATAGTACCCACTCCCCACCGTGTTATGCAGATATTATTTTTTATTATTATTTTTTGCAGTATAAAAGTTACCCCACATAGGAAACTATATTATGTATTCATTCACAGGGCGGAATATAAGTATTTAGATATTAGATTGGCGTCGGTAAGCAAACAGATCTATATATGTTGGGGGCCCTAAAAAACACATCAGTGCGTCAACAAAATAATTTGCCAATTATTACTAAACCGCGATCGCATAACATTATGCTAATCCCTCGTTATTTCCACATCGCAGATAATTGTTCAACAAGTGTACTAATTGTATTATCCAAAAGATGAAGAAAAAATATTCCTATATAGAAATAATAGGGATGTTATTCTCTAACGACCTCGTAATGGGTTGTATAAATAGGATTAAGATTTTTTCGCAAGACGACTAATTGGATACCGCACAGTGTAATTGATAACAGTACTATTTTATAATCTGTCTTTCAATAGATCAGACTGCCCCTATTTGAATATAATCATAAAAGAGCTTTATATACAAATTGACTATATTATGTGCTACCAGATTGCACAAATATAATTTAAACAAGAAAATTATGTTATCTTATTGACTAATGCTAACGGTTATTAAGGTAATTAACTAGATAACTGTTGGACTACAGACTATTATTATAATTAAATATAGGTCATCGCTATCTCAATCGACTCGGTTTTAAAACCGTTTTCGTCGTGCTACACATTACGGTATTCAATTCAAAGTGGTAATTATTTCTGATAATTTCAAAAGGACTTTGTCACACAATCGGAAGCGTTAAAACGTCGTTATTAACTCAGAGGGATCGGCTTGAATAAAAATGGGTTTCCTCCTTTTATTTTCTTATTTTTCAAAACAATCACAGCGTATCAAATTGTGTTTGGGGCAACAGTGCCGACGACAACGGCTGGTACACGTCACATCTACTTAAAGAATAATATTATAATAATTTTGGCCCGGATGATTGATCTTAGACGCAACGGTCTTCGTTTAGTACACACGGTTCGTATTCTGCTGCCGACCTAGATATTATAATATTGTTATTGTATATTGTGCACAACAGCCGTTTGCTCTGCGACCCATGATTGAATCCGTCCTACTACGCTGGCGCATTTTAATTAGATATTGTTGTGTGCGGCTAGGACCGCGAACGTGATCATGAAAAACATCAACGGGTGTCTTATAATGTTGAGGGTCCTTTTCTGCTATCTCCTTTCATTTTTTTTTATCGTTTCCGCACGAACTGATCGCTGATTTACGACGGCTGATCGTTCAGTGGACACAAAAGACGCGGGACGGATATATAATATAGGAAGCACATCGCTGACAAAAGAAATATACATGCGTCTAAGTGGCCCGGTTAGAAAGGAATCCATGGGAAGAACGCGGGCCGCGTTTTTATTTTTACGCGGTTGCCGCGGACCGTACCTGAAAATTTATGAGTTCGGCAAAAAGGGTTGAGCGGTATAAGTAGGCGCCCGTGAAAGGAAACGGGACGGGACGGGCAGATAAAAAAAAACACCGACTTACTCACTCTATCCGGCGCGAAAAATGCATGCGACAAAAAAACACAATACTCGAGTATTGTTCTAGTGGCATAAAAAAAAAAATGGGAGAAAAAACACAGTATAACAGTATAGAGAATTTTTTTTTTGTATTATTATATCTGGAAATCGAGAGGGGGAGAGGATATTTATCCCGTTGTTGTTGTTGTTATCGTTGGCGGCGGCCTTAGCCCGTTCAGTAGGTACACGGCGAGATAATATGCTAATAAGTCATACTGGTGTGTATACTATGTACACCACAAAGGTTGTCACGGCAACTGCAGACGGCATAGATCATTGCTGCGTGCATTTCCAAACGACTAAATCGGTTATGGGCAGATACCGCGGCTGTACACCATAAGCACACACGTTATAGAATATGCTAATAGGCGATAAACAATGAAATTAAAACTCCGGAACCGCCGTAGTCGGCTAATGCACCGGAAACCGGGAGTTCCGCGCTTTAACGTTTGTCTCACGGGCACTGGATGTGTATGGTGGTTTCCATAGAAGGGTGTTTTTTTTTTTTGTTATGGGGTTGATTTGTATAACAATTATTTCGATTTAGTCGTATATAGATGAAAATTAACTGAACACGTAACGTAAAAAAAAAAAAAACTAAAGCTAATTAAATGTCTTTGCAGTATGCTTGCTAATGGGGAAAAAAGCACCACGGTTAACCGTAATTTGTTTTTATTATTAAAGGTGATCACCGGTAATGTTGAAGTGGACTGTGGCCGGACAACGGGGCGGTGCAGGAGGGTGGAGACAGGCGGCCGACGAACCGACGTCCTGTTATTCAGACAAACCAAAGCGAAGGAGGCCTTCAAGGATATCCGACACACAGGATAAGGAAAACTCGACATGCGCGGTAAGTACTGTTGTCGTATGGGGTCAACATATCAGAGGACAATATTTTATAGGTTTTTAAAGTTGCCTCTCAAATGTTCCCTTTACAGACAACAAAAATATTTTTATATCGAAATTATACAAATTGTAGTAATACAACACGCGAAACTACTTCTATACTTGGGTAAATGTCGTCTGAGTACTTAATCACTTAATATAAAATGTGAAATGGGTCAAAAATGTAGATAACTCTACATTTACAGAACAAAAACATCGGTTCATTATTGATACTAATTTGTGAGGTATACATTTTGGCTGGAATTAACTCACACACCCCTTAATGTTACAACCATATAATGGTTTTATTTCAATGATTTTTCTACCGTACAGGAAGTGACTCCGGTAAAGACGTGTCGCCGTCGACGTCGAGAAAGCCTGAGGGACTTGAGCAACCACAAGAGCCCGGGAGCCGCGTCCCCGGCCAGGAAAAACAAGAGTCCTTGCATAGAAACCCATTGGATACCCGTTCAAAAAAGGTAAGTGTTTTAAATTCATTAACTAGCTATCTAAAACTATCTCATGGAAACTAATCTATATAGTACAATTAGAAATGGAGTAAAGTTAATGTTTATAATGAGGTGGGCAGAGTGCGCTCGGGTTGTGTTGTGCATTTACAGAACCGTTTTAAATGAAGGTTAGGGGTAACGTCAATATTAATAGTCGGAAGGGACGGCGAGGTAAAATAGTTCCTTTATAATTATATCGATTAATTTCATTTTGACCATTTGGCCCGTTAAAACGACGGCAATAATAAATCCTCTATTGTCTCGATAAAAATGGATATATAGGATTCATAAATAACGTTAACCGTTAAAATGAACGTCTTGCACTGCACGACAGCAGACTGATGTCTTAAACAGTTTTCTTCACTATTTTCTCGAACATTTTTTTTAAACGATTAAGCCAAGTAGATGTACGCTTGGAGTCGTTGTTATTGTTGATTGCTATTTCCTATGCGCGATGACAGGCAAACGTGCGCCTCTCGTCATCCATATGGTCAAAAGAGTTTGGTTGGTCCCATTTTTTTTTTTTTTTTTACTTCTTTTAACACCTAACGTGTTAATTTAAAATAGTCGGGACGATAATATTGTATTAAACGTAGTCTATTAGTTTTTAATACTTTTACCTCATGAAATTATGTTACCTTTTGTTTTGTGTAATGGCCAAACGCTGTTATTGGAAACAATATATAAATAATAATTACTCAATTACATTGAAGGCGGTCCGGGGAAGACATATGGACGGACCGGGTGAAGCGCAAGAAACCTTGTACGACAGACCATGTGATTGGCGGCGGCGATAGTACCAGTACAACGCCAGCGGACGGACACTTGTGCGTGTCGATGTCGCCGACGGACGAACCGATACAACTGCTGCATAAAGAGTTACCGCGGTTACCGCAGCGGCCCGCTGACGATCTGCATGCGTCTAGGCTCATCGACCAATACATGGACCAGATCCGCATGGAGGACTGCACGTTCGTGGACGGCAACGCCCGTGACAGGTTGAGCATCGTTTCGCCGCTGGCCAAGAGGCTGGCTGAAATCCGATTGCGTAAATCGTCGCCGTTGAAACGCAAGTGGTCCGACGAACCCGCGCCGCCCTGCAAGCGACCCAACTTGGGCGCCCTGACGTTGCCCAACGGTCTGCCCAGCCCGTTCACCCCGCACACGATGGTACCGCCCAGTCCTATAACCCCGCTGCGGCGGGATCCCGACGAGTCGGACGACTACTGGAAAACGCCCGTGGGACCGGTAATCATCGCTGGGGACAGCCTGTCCACTACCTCGTCCAAAACCGTCGAGGACGAGCTCATCTGCTGCGATCCCAGAAGTCCCACGATGCTCGACGAAACGTTTACCCTCAAATCCAGGAGATGTTTGTCTTTCGTGTCACCCGTTTCGGATTCACCGGCCAGGCGGAAAAACCGGAGATCCGTTAAAAAGAATACCGACAAAGGTAAGCAAAACGCTATATTGCCTACCATAAACGATTTTAACATGCTGGAGTCGTATAATACAATTGTGCACTACCATTTTATAACTAGAACCATAATACAATATCTCGTCTATTGGCTTCGACAATATTTTAAAAGACATTATTGATGTTGTACGGTAATGCACTCTAGTAATGAATAGGAAATGGTTCCCAATAATCAAAATAAGACTTAAGGTTTTTATCAGTATCGCGTGTATTGACTTAATTGTTTCTTTATTTTAAATACATAGGTTATTTTTTTTTTAATGTTATGAAATTTATATTATACATTTAAACATTTTCTACATTTAATTATGATCGTAATTTCATAGTTACAAAAAGTTGTACTTTCTACATAATCGGTGCTAGTTAAATTTGAAAAAGATTTTGAGGATTTATGCTTGTAGGTATCTCCCTAAAGCCTGTTCAATAAATTTGAATCCTGCATTACAATAATTTATTACTACTCGCTGTTGAATAAATCATCTCAACAACAGCTCACTAACAGCTCTTTTATCGTTTTTAGCTTCTGGATTGGAAGTGTCGATCGGCTTAAAAGACTCGACTCATTTAACCGTACTACGTAAGTATATCGCCCTATTCATACTGATAGTTATCACGTTTTCAGGTTTTTAATAGGCATTTTTATTTTCAGTGAAGAGAGGCAGAAATCTAGTTTGTTCCGATGGCGAACCACCCAATACATATATCAAGGTAAATTACCGTTATAACGCTAAAATATAATACACCCTTTATTGTTTCTGATATGCTAACCGTTATGTGTTGTATTCAGGTTTATCTGGTACCCGGAAAAGGAACTTGTCACAGGACTCGGGTCCGGCATAATTCGACCAATCCCAGATTCGATGAATCGTTTTCCGTTCCGCTCACACAAGAAGACAGCGATAAGAGGATATTAATATCCGCTTGGCACCGAGACCAATCTAAAAGGTACATGTCAAACAAAAGCTATATTATATTCCTACGCGTTACTCGAGATAATTGCTAGTATGAATAAGATGGACGGGCATTTTGTTTACATAATCGGATTTAAGTTTTGAATAATATTATAACGGCTGATCGTAATTCGGCTGAAAAATTCCCGTGTTCAAGTGGTTTGGAAAGATAATATGGGTGTAGGGTGTCGTTCATCTGTCATTTGAGGGGATAACTCGAGAGCGTCAGGTTAACGAATATTTCCCTCTTCATAGCCCTGACGCGTTTGCGATTTTGCCAATATAATAGTGCGCTACTACTAAAATTCATCCGCTGTAAAAACATCTCGAATTCAATTTCAAATATATAAATCTATGCGAAAAGAATTATCCCGTTGAAGATAACACATGATAAAGACGATTGAATAGGAAACGGGGTACAAAGTGTCCGATTGTTTAGGTTATATTATGTTGGTTGATAGTGCTAACAGAATACTCATGATATTCCGGTAGCTTAGTTATAGATGTTGCACGGTGTCTTGCATTTATTTAAGCCCTTAGTAGGTAATTGGGTGGTGTAATTCTATCGATAGAAGAACCCTTTTTTTGGATGGGATTGAGCGAAGCATTTTTGGCAAACGCACCTGGAACATTTTAATAAAGGAAATTTCGAGACACTCTGGGTAGTTTCCCGGTCACGTCACTCTGCTCTGTAATATTTTAGTTTATATTTTTATAACGATAGATTAAAGGAGTCTGCGCGAACCAGGTGCGAAGGTGTCTACTTTGAATATCCCAATAACCGTCGAACCCCGTTGACGATGCGCGGTTCGTTCGATGGGAATTCTCGCTCTAAATGCTTTTGATGAAGACGGTTTTAATCCGCACGTAATCCTTTTGAAAACAATTTTCACAATAATATACCGTTTTTCGTTGTCGGCGAATCGGCCGTTATCGAAAACTCTTACTTATCTCACGTGTGTGAATCATCACGATCTTCTCACCCCATCGATTATTACAAGACTCGTATTCACCCCGTGACGTTCGGTCGCACACGAGTGGCCATCCAGCCACGTCGGCCCTTCTCAAAGGAAGTCCGAATCTGTCGTCGTGCAGTCTATCCTCGGTGTATAACATCATAATAATGCAGTATGCACTGTATGTTTGTGCCGTCAATATAAAGCCGAAAAACGATTTATGGCGAGCCGCTGCGAATCGACCACGGCAATGAATAGGCACAAAGGCGCTGACAACGCTTAAATGGCAAATAATAATAACATGGAATCATAAAATCATCAAGATGTTTGTTGCACGAGGTATGAAAAACCGGTTTAATCGCTGCAACATTTTTACCTCTATTTCAAATGTAAACGAAAAAGGTGATATCACATTCGACCACCTTGTCATTTCATTTTTAGCGTTAAAACTCGTTGTTAAATTCGGAGAAAAAAACAAAAATATAATAATTTCTTCCATGATTCCGGTAAAATTTTAATGGGATGACGTCACATTTGCTCAACGTTCGACGTGGCGATGGTGGCCAACTATCGGTAGATAACACACATCGAGCAGTCCATTTTTTTACTTGAGACTATTTATACGACCACCCTTTATGTGCGTCGCTTTCGTGCAGTATCAATTGGCAAAACGCTTTTAAGTATCGATCGAGAGCCGCCAACGGTCGCCACGTCGGTTATGGCGTTATTCCGGTGACGATATATCATTCAATATTAGGAAATCGGCAATAAACGACCTAGGCCGTCGAGTCGTAGTGGAAATATACCGGTTTTATTACTGTATACACAGAGGTACAAGTGAAGCGCTGGTCGCCAATTCGGATTTGCATTTTACGAGGTACAATATACGGAAACGGTCGTGCGGTGGTGGGGCGATGAGAGCATTTTCTGGATGCTGGTTAAGGGCGAAGAGGCAAAAGCGAATGGTCGAGGGGGTTGCAACCGATCGATCCCACGCAGCGGCGCTTTGCTCTGTCACTAACGTTAGGCCACGGTGGCTCGCACAAGCACAAGCTTGGTAGTCACTCGTTTCTACTGCCGCCGGCTCGTCGTCAGTCCGCTTTGTTTTTATTTATTTATTATTTTCATTTGAGTTTTTTCTTCCGAAAAGATCTTAATTGTTTTATTTTAAAGCTAATTCCATATGGGTAATTTTAAGAGAAAATGTTTTGTTATCGTGTCGGCCCAACGTTAATATGATTTTTTTCGTTTTCTTTTTTTTTTCAGAAGGAGTGAGTTCCTAGGCTACATGTCGTTCGCGGTGAAAAACGTCATGAAAAAGGTAAGTGCAACGTGCTTGCACGTAATGTAGTAATAGTCAATATATTAATATGCAATAATAATTTAATCGGACCGCGTTATCGACGTTAACGTTTGGAAAAAAAAAACAATAGATTTCCGGCCGCGGGGTGGCGTTTACCTTTAACGAAACCTCTCAACCGTCGAGAGCCCATTGAAATGTTACCCTTCGCTTGAACGCAACACTTACTACACACACACACACACACACACATTAAGGGAATGGAAAATTAAAATAAAACACGTTTGACCCAATTGCCTATGAAGTTATTGTCAAAGAGTCGAAAGAAAAAATCTTCCCTTAAACGTATTTAATGGTCGATTTTTTATTTATTTTTTTTACAGGAGGTAAACGGTACGTTCAAACTGGTGCCGCAAAGTTCCGGACGAATGCCGCCTCACTCGACCCCGGCTCATCGTCCACAAGGTGAGTAAATTGGACTTATACCGTAAATCGTAGATCAAAACAGGTTTTAATGAGCGCGTCCTTTGTATTTTCAGATCTAACAGTTATAAAAACCGCCAGTTCCGACGACGAAGAAGATATTATGATCGATGACGACCGTACACCCAGTAACCTCAATCATTCAGGTATATATATATATTTGCATCTTCGTCATCCTAATATTTTCAATTATAAACGTCCATGATGTAATTTTTTCCAGTGTCTATCAAAACTAAGAGCAGTCAGAAAACGTCGAGGAGAGACGCGTCCGTGCCGAAAACTAGTAAGTTGTTTACAACATCCAAGCCCAATATAATATAGAAACACAACAGTTAGTAATACCATAAAGCATTGTGTAATTTGCAAAATTCGTTCGATAGCAGTCTGACCGACGCCGAACTAGGCCAAGACGGTTTTCTCGCACGCAATCCTCAAACTTAAAATATTATAACCCATCGTTCTCACATACCGGTCACGTGGTTTTTATTACACTTTCCGGACAACGTGCACGCTTCATACCCCTACGGCTACCCTACCTATGTACAGTAGGATACTTGCCTGCCTGCACGTATACCATAATAATAATAATATAATATAATAGTTATCGTAAGCCACATTCTGTTTTCTTATTGCGCAATGAATTATATAAGCGTATTTTATTGATCATTGACCGTAACATACTATAGTATAGCTCGGTGCGACCATTTGAAAACCTGAGAAAAATTAACTTAAAATTTAAAATAGCCAAGACTAACTTACTGATTTTTGGTAATTCAGTCGTCTATAAAAATAAACAAATTCCAATTTCCTTTTTGTATGGCACGAAGAAAATAAATTGATAAAATTGAGTTCTGATGAGTATTAATTGCACTCAGATATTAATAGCGATAACAATATGTAATCGTGGAATAAATCTCAGAGACTTATTTGACCGTTTAAACGCAGGTAACGAAGAAAACAAATTTTTGCAATACCTGGAGCTGGATCCACCGCTAACGTCCAGAGACAGCCGGTGTGGCCGAACACCTTTCACTGTCACCAAACGGTTGTCGAAGCCATCGGGATCTAGTTTTGGATTTTCCATAGCGTGGACCCACCCACCAAGGTAATTATGACAAAACATTTACCCTATTTTCCATAAAAATGGCAAATATTAAAGAAGTTTGACTTGCATAGGATGCAAGGACACCAACGGGTTGGATGAATGGTTCTTTATATTTGTGTTACAGCTGTATTAAATCTCTTAATAATTCTAACGCATCTCTTTCAGACTAGAACAACAAATTAATAATTACTGTTGTTATACAGCGTGTACAATAAACCCAAGTTAATTAATGATATTTTATGCGCTAAAGTTAATTATTATTATATTCGACAAAGCTCTTCAGTTTTCTTAGACCTTCACCCTAATTACGTCATAATTTAACCATAGGTGATCTTTTATATTGTAGTCTATTATAATATATATGATATTAATAATAAAAATAATGCATTCAAAGTTAGGCATTAATAAGTTAAAATTAAGATGAAATAATTAAATTAATTTGAATTATGTTTGATTCTTACTGAAAAAACTAATATCCGTCTAAAAATAAAATAGGGTATAGAAATTCAGTAGGTCTTTTCTAACTGTTATTAACTTAACCAAGTTAATAAAAATTCCAATTAACTGATGTCATTTTAGTTTAGTCCATGTATATACAAATATTATTTACTCGTCCACCTTTTATTGCGATTAATGTTAATGAATTCTTTGAGTTAGATCTTATTGCATAATATAAACACAATAAATAATTTATGGTTCCACTTGCATTTCGTTTGTGTTTAAAAGGAAAACGGAAATTGTTTTCGATTTATAATAATATAAAACACTAATGGTATATAACGGAAACCATGTCAATCTGTAAAATTAATTTGACGTTTATTTTTGGTTTCGGTACATTTGCCCCCTCCCCTTTTAATCGTTAGGCTACTATAAGATATTAATATATCGTTTATTGCATTAAACTAATTTTATGTTTTTTTTATGTATAGGGTGGAACGAGTAGAATGTGGCTTACCCGCAGACCACGCCGACCTAAAACCTGGCGATTATGTGGTCTTCATCAATAAGACTAACGTGGTGATGATGGCCGAAGACGATGTCATGGAGTTAATCAAGTGAGTCTCTTTCTCTCTCTCTCTCTGAATATATATTGAAGAATCTTATATAATCTTATATATATATATATATTAAGATTCCGGTTGTTCAAGACCTATTTGACACAACTCTGTATATTAGTTTACGGTAGTGTTTATATATCATTAATACTTGTCAAGGATAGGACACGGGTTTTAACAAACGACGGTATCGTGAACCTTGTCGGAATCCATAAGCTTACCTCAGTCTACCGATCAATTTGAAAAATGGAATTATTATCTACTTTTAATCTGGACATGACGTTAAAAAAAATGTAAACATAATCCGAAACCAAATATTACGTCGGTTTGCAGTCATGTTTTGGCATGGAAAGCACTTTGAAAGTTTTTTCACTTTTTTTAAATTCTAATCTCTTATAACAGGTACGGCGAGTTGACCAATATCTTCTCAGACTTATCCGCAACAAGTGGTGCCAGAAACCATTATTTAACTCCTATAGAACAAGTTGAAAAAAAAATCTTGTCCACATCTCCCACAATTTAAGGGCCTAATCTGGCGTGCGGTGCGCGCATTGGAACCGCCGCTTTAGTCCACTAAGCCACACCACTTATAAAGTAGGGGGGGGGGCGTAGAGCTTAAAACGCTTAACACAAAAAGACGACTTAAATTATTCGAAAAGTCATTACCACCAGTCGACTGCCACAAAAAGTATTCTCTTGGCGCCAGTCTTTAAAATTAAGTTATTTTTTTATACTTATCATTTCAATCTTCCATCACTTTTTCCCATCTTTTTGATTTGCACATCTCCTTAACATAGTATGCGGTTAAATTACTAAGGCATTTACAATTTATTTTATCTTAACTACACATACCCATCAGTAATCAGAAATCAATGGTGGAAACTAAAAAGTACTCTTATAAGATTAATAGTTACAAATGATTTGTATTCCACCCAGCTCTTATATAAATGTTAACAAATAGTTTCACCATTTGCAGGCTTTTAATACTTTTTCTTATCGTTACATGTGTGTATATTTTCCTTTAAAGTACCGGATGAAACTGTTATGACAAAACAGTTGTTTTTACCACTCGAGAAAGTAAAACTTTCTGCGCACAATTGATAGCCTCCAAACTAACACTGTGTATTCCCAACTTGCTGTACTTCCGCATAATAACTTTACATTCCAATTTATAATTTTTTAAAAAACGTATGCCTTATAGAGTTAAAGAGAGATTAATTAAAGATAATTAATGTTTTTTTTTTTTAATTACAGGTCTTGCGGTAATCAGCTGTCGTTAGAAGTGTACAACAAAACAACAACAGCAAACCGCAGCAATAAACCTCCCCCTCGGTCAACTTCCACCCCTGGAGTGCTCAATCTGGCTACTTCATCTGTATCTCAGAGCGACACCACTATGTCACTACAAGAACCGCCAAGGAGACGATTTCACTTACCTCAAGTGACGTTCACATCCGAGGTAGGTTCCGGTGTGATCGTTTGAATGTTGTTCATCGTCTGTAAATACCTACGCATTATACATGATCCTTTTTGGTTTTTATTATCATAATTTTTTATTTTGTTTTTACTCCCAAACGTTTGTTATTATTACTATTATTTTTTTATTTATTTATTTATGTACGCCCGAAAACGCCAAACGACAGCGGCGCGTATTTTAGGTTTACTTTTTTTGCAACTCATGCCAGTATACTTAAATGCCAGTATTAAAATATTTTAATAAAAACAGAAATATTTATTTAACCGAGTACCCCCAACGATATTAATAATGGTATAAATCAATTTTTATGTATTGGAAAATACTAATCCTATCCATAGTATTTTGTGTTTATCAGATTTAGTTTAGTACCTATTTAAGTTTTGCTTAACTCTCATAGTATAATATATTCTTTTTTATTTATTTTTGTAGACATTAGTAAACCATAATATTGTTTTATGTTTGTTCTTGTTTATGTTTGTATTATTCTACATTATTATTTTTATTTGATTGTTGCATGCGGCTAACACGCGTCGTTATTTGTTCCTCTCGTTATAATATGTGTTTGTACATTTTTTAAGAAACAAAAAAACTGCAATTTCTAATTGTATTTATTATTTTTTTGTAACTTTTTATTATTATTATTTTTGTACATAAACGCGTTTAGTTTTTGTTTTAATGTTATTATTTTTTTTATTTATTTTTTTTATAACTCTCTTGGATATGATTTGTTTTTGAGGATTTCAAACGCTCGACCACAACGTTGATGTCGTTATATGTATATTAAAAAGTTAAAACTACAGATAAACACAATCTCATTGCAAAGATTTGCATATTATATGTTGTTAATAATAGTGTATCCAAATTTAAAAACTAGCTGCAGACCTAGAAAGCTTTAATAGATTTACCAATTATTATTTGATAGTCAGTAACGATACTACTCCTGACTTCAAAATTGAATATAAAAGTATTTAAATAAAGAAAATACCAATTTTATAACGATTAATATGTATAAGTTCGTAATGTTATGTAGGTACGTTAAGATATAAGGCCGAAAAGTGATACTTATTATATTATTTATGTATACAGTAAGTATAAACGAGAAGGAACACTATTGTGGGTATATACATATTTGTGTGCCTTATCTATATAATTATTACTAAGTTCCTTTTAAGCTAAACAGCTTTTGAAAGTTTACTTGAAGTGTATAGCACTTAAGGATAATATAATTATTTCTCTTTGATAAATCGCTCTTCCATTTGTTCTCTTAACCTTTTGCAGGAGATCAAACGTTTAACTAAAAGTAAACCTCTAACTATAATTCCTATTGCCTAAATTATAATAGTACAGCATTATGAAAATTCTGTTTTTTTTTCAAGTTCAACCCCAAAAAATAAAAATTGTGAACTATTCCTTAAACGTTATAAGTTATAACTTAAATCTCAAAGTTAAATTCATCATAAATACCTTATTTATTATTTATTAACAGTAGGAAAATTATATTTTAATTTGTATTATGAAAATGATATTTGTATGAAACTGTTATTTTGCTATACTTAGGTAAACTGAATTCGGCGCTTATATCTTTTTTATTTGAATGTGCTGATGGTGAGCAATTAGTCTTTAATTTAAAACATCTTTATAAAAGAGAATGAGTATATTTTATTGAGATTAATTTCATTACATTAATTTTAAAAATGTATCCTTAAATTATTAATAGTTATAATTAAATAGTTTTACAAAACTGCAAATATTTTATTATAAATAGAGTAAAATAGTTTTTAAAAAAGGTCTGCGTGGAACTATTAAATATAAGGGGAAACATATAATAGGTGTTGTAGTTGCTTTTTAATTAAGTTATGTACAAAAACACAATTATAATTTTGTTAAAAGCCTTTGTTTTTTTTTTGTGGAATAGCGGTACATTCTACAAATGAAAACGAAAACGTTAACACAAAGATAACATGCACACAAGTGCCATGTCCACTTTATTTGGTTTTGAGTTATAGAGTTTTAACTCTTACGGCTATTTGTAGTCGAACAATATTATTTATGCTCTTTGGACATATCCGGTCTATGCATTCGATTCAGTTTCTTATCACAAATTCAGGGACACCCAAAAACCCGATTTTGAAAAAAATAGACATAGCACTTTTGTGCTTTAAGGTATCGATGTATACTGGGTGTTTTTTTAAACGTCCTACACTAATTTTCTCTTAAAATAATTTCAATTTAGTAGTTTTTCTTAATTAATAAATAATTATTTTTATTAAAAAACATTGTTGTTACTTTATATAAATTAAAACTAAGCTCATGAAACTATGAAATTCAATAAAAAGTAAAAAAACCGTTATTAAACTCTTATAAAATTATGATTATCCTTTTAATTTACTGTAAAGTCATGCCATTAGTGTATTATACACTATTAGAGTATATATCATCATGGCAATAACTTGACTAATTATGAAATATTTCAGTAAACTAAACGTTGTTGTGCCAAACAAAACTTTTTTAACAAGTTATACAATTGTGAATTGCACTATAAACAGTACATCGAATCTTGGTGGGAAGGACGTATTAAAAACTTTTATTTTCGTCATTACTTACTTTAAAACAAAAACTGTTGTCCAAAAAGGGTATATTAGGGTTCTCGAAACGGTATCCCCTGAACAAATTAGTGCACTTGTAAATTTTTCTTTTACAAATTAAATTAAAATTGGGAAAGTGGACAAGACTAAAAAATTACTAAATACAATTCTAATTTGCGAATATTATATAATATTATGGAGTGGAACTATATTGACGGCAGTTTTTTGATTTGGTTAAAGAATTTATCTGAAAACGTGGATTCGCAGTTGAGATGGATTCATCAGTTGCTCACGGCCGAACAGCAGTTTGTGTTGTGCTTGCAGTTCGGTATCGGCAGGTATTTGTTGCCGATGGCCGAACGCAAGGACCTGCTCAAGTCCAAGGAGCACGCGTTTCTCTTTCAAAACGTACAAGAGGTAATTGACCGCTCACACAATGTACATTATTCCCATGTTGAGCACAACTCATACGGGGACGGGGTTTTTTGTGCAGTTGCTGCGCATCACCGAGGACACGTTGGAACGGATTATCGACAACGACTGGAAACATCTTGCGCGAAACATGTGCAAGGTGTACGTTAAAAAAATCGACCGGCTAAACGCGGCTTATTACAAGTACTGCAAGGGTATCATCCAGGCGGACAGTCTGCTGGTGGAAAAGTCTCAGAACACCAAATTCGTCGAGCTCATCAAAGATCCGCCCATACCCGACCGGAGGCCGGATTTGATCACATTTCTACACAAGCCTTTGGAGGTTCGTCAAAACTAAGAATTACCAATTTTTTTTTTTTTTTTTACCTTTATTACTAATCTGCCTGTTTTTACTCTTGCCCGTTTTTAATGCCGTTGTTTTAATGTATTTTATCCGGTTTAGCATTACCGATACATCTTGAAGTGTATGCAGATCATACAGACCAACACGGAAAACAACGAAGACGATTTCGAAGCTCTATCGCATATCGTCCACGAGATGCAGGTACATTAATTACTATTAAAAAAAACGTCTAGCGTCGTTTTCAAAATATATTATGCAAAAATATTTTCACGACTTTTTTTTCGGTCAATCTACAAATAATTTTAATAGCTTTTTTAAATTTATATTTGTAAAATTTTTAGGTGTATTTTCATTAAACCTAAATTTTGTTTGTACCAAGACTCTTTAATCAGGTCTATTAATTTAATTAGGTTTATTAAGGAACCAAATGCGTGACTGATTAGAGGCCCTATTACTGAGGCCTTTTTACTGATTACAGATAAAATGAGGAGGGTGACAATTTTTATTAAAAAATTTTCATTTTACTTATCAATAAATAAATAATATATATATGTACACATATGTACATCATGATTAAAATATAAAGTAATAAAACAAATTTAGAATATAATCGCACACTTGCACAATATTTTAACGCGCTTTACTAAATTTCACTAGTTTTACGATTATAAATAGGAATATATAAATATGACTGTTTTATTGAATATTTACGATTGAAACGTGCTTCCTTTTTTTAATAATTTCTTTCAACTAAAAATTCTAATAATATTCTAGGATACAAATAAGTAATAACAAGTCTTATTAAATGATAATTCATCTTCATACAAGTATATTTACATGAAAATGTTTAATACAGTAATCTATAAATTAGGTTGAAAATAAAATAGTTATCGAAATTCTGAAATAAATTGTTTACTAATGTACTAATGTCCTTTTAATGTAAAAAAAATCTTATGACTTTTATAATTTGGCTTTTAGTTTTATAAAAAATAAATAACATTTGCGTTTGTAGGATTTTTTAAAAATTATTATTAGTGCAATTGTTGGAAAATATATTAGAAGTGTAGTTAGAATTATTGTGAAATGTTGATAGAAAATTTGACCATTGACTATTTTTTTAATGCCAAAAACAATTAACACTACGACACGACCATACTGTATTGTATTGTATTTGTGTATTAGGCAACTTATCGATTCATAACTGTCGAGTCGGGCCTAATGGAACCGGAAGTGGACGGTAAGCCGTTGTTGTCGCTCAACGACTTAGAAGCCAGGCTCGTGTTCACCCGTTGCAAGGTAAGCATCTTTACTGGTGGACAAAAAAAAAAGTCTTTTCCAAAATATCATAGTCGATAAATGTGTTTTTTTTTTTTAAATTGTGTTACAGCCTTTTACGTTAAACGTACCTGACCGTCAATGGATATTTGCCGGCGATCTGAGTAGGGTCGAAGGGCGTTCCGTCCGATCGTATTGGGTGTTATTGTTTAATGACATTTTACTATTTACTAAAGTCAGTCGGGACCGAGTGCTATTCGTTACCGACGAACCGTTACCACTATCATCAATTGCTCAAACTCAGTTCTCCGTCAAAAAGAAAGGTACACGGAAAATATTGAAACGATTAAAAACAACTTATTTACATATATTTGTTAAAGCATCACATAATTATAATAATACCATACGAATGAAAAAAAAATATGTATAATAATAATTGATTAAAATGATAATATTATCATGTCGATAATTATTTTTAACAAGTAAGACCACAAGATGTTATTTCGTTTTTTATTGAATAAAAATAATTTTCCGATTTTTCTGATTTTCTAAAGAATTTTTTGAGGTTGCTCGTATTGTTTTTATGTACAAATTTGATTATTTTAAAATTAAAAAAATTTTTTTTTCAAAGGTAATATTCTCTAGAGAAAAAGTGATTCACATACCTAGTAGTTTTTAGCAAAAAAGAAACAAAGTATGACCTTATAGTTGATTTTTTTAAAAATTACTGATAAAGGCAATAGGGTTGTATAATTTGTATTTTAAAAATTTCATCTTTTAAGGCCTGTATCTTCGCCAGTACCTACATATTTTTTCAAATCAACCTTAAGATCAGAGTTTGTTCCTCTTTTATGCTGATTATTTCCATGTGAATCACTTTTTCTCTAGAGTATTTTACACTAGAAAAAATTAAAAACTTGAAATAATTAAATTTGTATGTAAAAAGCAATACTAGTGATTTTAAAAGCACGGAAAAATTAGGAAATTGTTTTTTTATTTAATAAGATATACTTTAAAAAACACGAAAAAAAAATGTTTGGTCTACCCCGATAAATATTGATATATATATACCTACAATATTATGAAACGTCGACTATATAGAAATATACTTTCCCAGTATAGCTAAAACAATACGTTATAACATCGAACACATCATAATGGCTAATCAAATTTGTTATTCAATTATTGAGTACTTTAGTACTTGAAATAATTCAATAATACATATTGATTCTTTAGTTTAATACTTTTATGTATTGCATTTAATCTTATTATCATTAATTCTTCGTTTAATTGTATTATAATAATATTAATAGATTATTTTCAAATGTGTAATGATGTATACTTCATTTTTCTCCTGAAATTTTTACCAATAAACAGTAACGTACAAATTGTAAACATTACTCGGGGAGACCAATAACAGCTTCTTGTTTGATCATTTATTATTGAAATTTACACGCTATGCATATTTCGCGACTAGTAATTTAGCATTGACAAATCTTCAATTAAACTCTTATAATTTGAAATAATTACACAAATTAATTATTTTTATTTTTACTAGACTATTAATTTATGAATCCATTATTAATATAATTTATAAATTAGTTTTTGTACTTGTATTTCACTGGATTTATTTACCTAAAGTTTGTCTATATATTTTTGGTAAGTTATTCAGTGACAAACATTCGTGAGGATTCGTGATTCACATTTTGTAACATATTCGTGAAGTAGATTCCAATATTATTTATCAAGCCTTAAATGCCAATAAAAATGTGTAGCATGTTCATCATATTCTTTCATTTTTTTTTTAGACGCTGAATTCCGACTGGTAATCAATAACAGTGGACCAACACCATCAGAAAGTTCATGTCACAGTAGTCCTGCTATGATTGGGTGCAGCCCGCTGTTAGCCGATTTATCTGGTACTCTTTCCCGACTTCCCAACAAGATCAAGGGTAGAGTGATCGTACTCCGGGCGCCCAGGGCCGAGTTAAAAGCCGTCTGGCAAAACCTCATTCAGCGACAAATGTAAGTTGATCGGTAACAAGTACACTTTTTTCATTTTCTCTCCACAGCACGGCGTCTAAAAAAAAAATCGTCGAGAACACTTGATGTGTATAAATCGTTAAACGATCTATACATATATATATATATATATATATATATATTACATCCATTGTTTTTTCGGACATTTCTAATTTAATACCACCCAAACAGAATTTAATTCCTCCAACACAATAGAACGGCATCGACAATGTTATGGCGACGAGGGTAACATTGATCAATATACAAATATCGCCATTAAAACCTATCGAATAATAGCGCCATAGTGATTTGAAGAACACTAGACCTAAGCCGGGAGATTACGTCCTCCACGCACAATGGAACTATTTACAGTTTGATTATTCGCAAACGCTTTCCCCCTTACCCACGGGTCATATTTACTTAAACTATTACTCCTTTTATAGCTGCACAATACGCAGAATGTAAAGCATAGCGATTTGTGTACTTTTTGAACACCCTGTATGTTGAGTTTGTCGAAAACGTCAATATTGTTAACGGTTATGAACCAACAAATAAAGTTTATACGCATTTTATCTATAACGGTCTAAAGTTCAAAATCGGCTGATGTGCAAATTATCCGGGTGGGGAATACACTTAGCCGATTTCGGACTTCAGCCGTCACATATATTTTATCACTTAAAATTGATGAAATTTAATGCACGTATTCAATATTCGTCGAATACGTCAACACCCGAAGAATAATTAAGAGTATGTGATAATTGTGTTCTTACAATATTCCATTTTAACTATGAACAATACCATTTCAAGGGGATTATTATTATTTTTCTTGAACCGCACTTTCCACAGTGTTATAAATTGTTCGGCATTTGCAATTGTATTGATATAAACTTTCTACTGCTAATTAACTCTCCATGTTGACCTGTACGAATCGTGGTTGTTTCAGTTTGGCGTTGAACAAGAACGGAATCATGCCGGCCGACGTCAAATGCAAAGCCTCCTCCCTGGCCACGCTTGACTCTCCGGACGGCCTTTTGGCAAACTCTCTGGCCACTCTGGACGACGGGGTCGGCGCCGACCGACTAAAGGTACAGTCTAAGCACTCGCTAAGCAACCCGACTACACCAACCAGCACGTCTTCCGACCGTTACCCTGTCCGTCCGCCGTCCTGAGATTCGGCCCCCGGCCTAATAGATGTTGTAGTCCCACTCGGTTCTAAAGCGTTTTAGACCGGAAAAGTGGGTGCCCCTTGTGCAAAAATATGCAGGCGTTGATCCAGGAAGGGCAAGGGAACTGGGGAAATGTAAATTCAAAGTACCTACTTTTAACAGGCTCCCAAAAAAATATCAGCAACTTAACTAGCATAGCTCTCACTCAATTAAAGCTATTTCGTTAGAGGTTGAAGGGTTTTTGAAGCAGCTGAATTTCCCGGAACCATTCTATTCTAATCCTAAGTTTTCCGTCCCCCCTCTGGATCCACGCTTGGAAATGTGCTCATACCTATGCGATATTAATATTATAGTTATTCTATTAATTCTTTACTCAGAGCCTTTGCCATATTATACCTATACCTATACACGAAGTTAGACGTTTGAATTTACAATACAATATAATATATATATATATACATTTTAACCTAAGCTGTAAATAAGGTAACTCAGGCATTAACAATTTACAATTACATTCACAACGCATTATTTGGATCATTTAGCAAAATTATTATTCATTTTCTAGACGACTCTCAACAATAGTATTTTAATCAATTTCTATCTTGGTACTTTACAGAAGATAAAGTGTTTCTCTTCTAAAATTATGATAGGATACTAAACGTGGGCGGACAAGTAGAAAACGTAGAAACGGTGGTGGAGTTTAACACATCAAATATACCTCATATTATACTGCTCTTCGAGCTTAATATAGTGAACTTTAGCGCTATATAAATATTAAATTAGTAATTATTATTATTCGAGCGCGGTATATCGTTTCGTTATAAAATGCATGTTTTTCTGTGTAGCTATTATAATAGCATTGTAATATATGAATAAATAACATCACTCTGTGCATCGTAATTACTTATTTTAATAATTAATAATTGCTGCACATCCATATTATATTGTATCGTAATAGAATCGTTGTAGCTGAGTAGTGGCTTCTTCCATCATTGTCTAAAAATATATTTTATCTTTTTTTTTCTATTTATTGGTTTACTCGTTAGTTTAGAGTACATTTTAAAAAAAGCACAAGGCGCCAGCATCTATTTGACGCCGGAAAAGGGCAAATTTGCGATATAATTTATATATTTATTCTAACTATTAAATTAATAACATATAAAGTAATATAGCATTATAACAATCGTATCGTAATAAATTAGTATAAAACCAAATGTATTGAGCTATGACGCATAATATTAGATTTTAGTTGATAGGGCCGTATTATAGAGGGGGGATACCTCCTCATGTTTCCCCAGCGCCAAATTTTTAATTCATTAAAGGGTTACAAATAAATTATCTAGAGGGGGGGGGATTGTAAAATAATTGTCTCGGCAAGATTATATAATGTCAAAATACGGCTCTGGTAGTTGTACAAACAGTGATATAAACTTAAATATTTTAAAACAAATTGCATTCTATTGAAATATTATTACTCGTATAATATTATTTAGTGTAAATAAGTTGTTTATAAAGTGTAGAGTATGCTCTACAGTTAACATTTTAAATTCACACATTTATTAGAACGTATTTACCTTTAAAGATAAAAAACTTGTGTAACTTATTTAGTGGTTATGCGCTATTAATTACTGAGAAACGTCCAGACACGACAGTCGCCTTCGTCGGGTATTTATTCTCATTACTTTAATAATATAATGTAAAAAAAAAATGTTTTTATTATATTTTTTTAAAAATTGCCATAGAATGTATTCAAATATTACTATTACATGTATAACATATGAATTGCGCTTTGTTTTGTGCGTTAAATATATTGTTTTGATCTATTATCAATATGTAAATATTAAAGTGTCAACGTTTCCGTCCCGAAGGATATTTTTGAACGTGTTAACTATTAAACTGATGGGTTACGTTTACATATCGTTTTTTACTAGTTAAATCATTTTGTAGTATATTATTTTTCTGTAGATAAAAAGAATAATGTGTAATTCAAATAAATACATTTTTCAAAAATATATTTGCAGTCATTTTTTATTTGTTTGTTTTTAACATAATATTCTACTTATACTACACCGGTAACAAGTCATAAAACGTGTAAATTGTATTTTTATTGCGGATAGGGTTTTAACAATATTAAATTATTTCCACAAATAACTCTAACTTAAATTTTGTTAATTAAATATGATCCATAATAACCACTAAGAATAGTATTATACTATTTTATCTCCTCTAAGATTCAACCCATACGTGTTAACTTAATTTAACCACATCTTATGTACTACGTATGCATTATTTAGTTTTATCCATATGTCTTTGGTTTGAAAGTTATTTTCAACATCATTAACTAGTAACTCTGTGAATCTAGTGTTGCCGTTGTAGTAGGTATGCAGTAATAATGCTTATGACTTGAATGCGTTAAAGCTTTCATCGATTTTTAAATTATTTACAATATTCACAGATTTTTCCACGTGTTCAGTTTTTACTATCGTTTTAGACTAATTTCAGAGTGTATTGTCATTGTCTCGCTACTGTAATATTATATTGGCTACTGCCTACTTTGCTTGTTTCATTTCTTATCACTACATGTTTATGCATTCATCTACGATCGAGAAAGGTGACAAAAAAACGAATACATCTACTTTTACATATAATGCGTTAAATCGCATTTCCCTAATCGCCAAACTCTATATTAATAGTATATATATATATAAAAGAAGTCACACATTCCCAAGTACAGAGAAGATGGTTTAAAAATTATTAAAGCGTGGAAACCCATCATTACTCATTTACCAGATAAAATATGGTGAGAGAGGATAGTGAACATATCTCAATCATGTTAGTTATATGTATGACACTGATAGCAGTCTGAAGATGTAAAAAATGGAGGATAAAATAAACATAACTATGTAAAAGGAAACAACAACTTGTTGACCTGTCCTTTTTTTCGAGAAGCATGAGCGCACTTATTATGCATCATGAGTCATGATTGAGAAATAGAGTTGCAACTTACAATGACTAACCGCCAAAATAGCGTCTAGCAATAAGAAATTATTAACGAACGAACGCGATCATCGACTGGTTCTGTATCGCTGCAGCAGCAAGACAGTGACAATGCTTCTAAAGATCATTTTTTTAAATAGGCATTTGGATATATTTGTGTGTACTGTAAATAAAACAATAATGTAATTTATTTACTATTTGCAGCTACATCACAGAATACAACAGTGGTACCACTAATTTTTAATTAAATGCAATATGCACAATGCATGTGTACAAACCAGAAATATATTTGAGTATTTTACGTGGATTTTCTATACGGCTAAACAATTGAATGGCCAGTAGCCTTTTTTGAGCATGCACGATACAATTAATCGTATCTTTTTGCCACTTTGCAACGGCATCCTCAACTACATTTTTACCTCTTTCATCTTCCTCGCTACGTGTGACACAATAATCAATATTCCCAAGTCATCTCATTTCAATTTCTCTGTTATTAGGTGAGCCCGCCTAAACATTAATTTTTTTATCTCACTCTGTTTAATTACTTCATTTAACCGTTCTTAATTTTTGTATTCCCATTACAAAAATCTACCCACATTTAAAATATCCATAATTGTTGGCCTCTCAGTAACCACACTGTGAACTATTCTTAATTTTAATTGTTTGAGTAATAACAAAAAATAAGAAACAAATTGGTCAGTATAGTGTCAGTGACATTACGCTCAAGTATCAACTCTGAAGATCTACCAAGTGTTTAATATGTCGCTACAAATCAAGAACGTTTTTAATATTTTTTTTATTATATACTGCACGCATAGTCTGCTATTGCGTCCAACTGCGACATGTTTGGATACTTATTTTATTATTATAGTCTTTGGCCGTGTCGCTGCTGGTGGACGAAAAATGTCTTCTGCTCAGTAAAACGACTTGCGACAAGGCCAAGGCGTTGCACATATCGCAGTGGATTAAGGGTGAACTTCGGGGTAGTCTCGACGACGAACCAGAATGCGATGTGACGGACTCGGACGACGAGACTGATAAAGTTGAATGCTGGACGGAGGAGCAAATGAACGCCATGAAAGCAGAAATCCAACGTCGGTTGACCGGAAGGGACGGCAGCGATATAGTAGAGTACTTGACTTCTGACTCTGCATCAGGGGTCAGCAGCCCAGACGACAGCCATGTATGTTTAGAGGTATGAAATAAAAAGTGGTATCAAATAAATCGTAAAACAAATTACTTAAATAGGCACTTTAAAATATTTCTAAGAGATTTTTAGTTATATAAAATACCTCAAATGTGCCCTCTAAAACTACAAAATAAGCGATCATCTAGTCCAACATAAAAAAATGTTAAGTATTTACATGACTTGAGGTTACTCCCACTTGGATGTCTTGACTAGTTCGCCAACGTTTCGGAACACTTGCACGTTCCATCTTTAGGGCTGTGGTTCAATGTTGCTGGTACCGCGCTCTCCTGCAGACTGACCGATTCGCTTCCGTGGGCGTAGGTTATATACCATACCCCCAACCGCATTCTCCGCTTCCTCTTGCCGCTGCCAGCTGTTTTCTACGGCCACGCCCTTTCGCCTTGGCCGGTTACCAGTCAAGTCATGTAAATAGTGTGAATATAATACCCCATTCAAGCTTCAATAATTTTTTTAAATGTTAAGTATTTTTGTCACAAAATCGTTATGGAACAGTCACAATGGTTTAAAATACAGAAAGACGTGTTAACCTTAAATTAAAAAAAAATGTTTTCACGTTTCCTAAAAACGCTACCTATGCAATATTTGAAATATGGGTGAGGTACGATCATTAATCGTTACAGTACAAAATATATTTTTTGTTGTTCAAATAAGGGGATGGGAAAATATAAATGTGCGTGTTGTACGCATGTACATGTTTTGCTAACAAGCAATCAAACACATATTTATATTATGTTGCTGGGTGGGCTGGCGGGCGAGAGAGATCTTAAGAAATTCACTGCAGTTATCGCGATATTTCTATGTCTAATACTTAACGGTGTTTGATTTCAGCAAAAAACGGCGCTCAATATCGTACACGACAAGGGTCAAATGACGTGTGACATTAATGGCAATCGACAGCCAGATGCGTTCTCGCACTTGGATCTAAAAAGCAAAAAATATGGCACCATTGTATCTTGCAAATCGTTTGGCAATGACAATAGCAATAGCAATAGTGACAGAGAGAAGAATAGGTCAAAGCTTAAGTATGTAACTCCTCGTCGTTACCAGCTGCCACAAAGGTCTTTTTACCGTCGAAACCCTTCCACGCCTACATTGGATAGAGCCGATATCAAAAGCAACTTTTCAACCGATAGTCTGGACAAGACGGAATTTTCCTCAACGACCGATTTCCGGTTAGAATCCGAAATAATATTTTACTATGACTTTACAGAATGTTCTGTTAATGCTGAAGTTATAATATACCACGTGGCTTAATCTTATAATTATTTATTTATTTTTATTTCGTATGCCATTATATGAACAATACATTTATCTTACTAGCTAAGTATAAATACAAATAGTTCGTGGTAATTTATCAAAAATAAATAATTAAATAAAATAAAATAAGTAAATAAAAATCGATTGGTCGTTATGATTTAAAACGTTGAATAGTGTAGTCCAAATTTTCCTTCTTAGCTCATTTAAAATTTAATATTGATTAGACGACTTATTCAAGATGTTATTTTTACTTCTGTAAAAATCGACAGTAATACTTAAATACTGCATTATGTTGCAACATTATTTTATCGTAATCTTCATCCAGTTTACTTGCTTAGATCTAGGTCGTATTCACAAGTTTTTCACTTGGACTTTAAATTTTCCATTCCATATTTCTCTAATTTAATAACTATAAATGAATTATTTAAATCGTATGCCATATTTTTAGATGGCCTGAAGACTATTGTCCGGTGTCCAGTTGTTGTGTCTCCGATAACGACAACGACTATAACAACTATGACAGTTCCAGCGAAGAGTTTTGGGGCACTCCAGATAGCAGCACCACATCGCCATTGTCCGCAGAGGTTTGAATAAAATAATTAAATTTAACATTTAAGTAGGTACATGTCATATCCATTTACAATTGGACAAGAAATATGAAGTATGTTTGTACATATAATGTATAATGAGGATTTCTGTTCTTGTATACACGATAGTATATGGAGTACTCTTCCATAACTCATTATTAAATCCATTTTAGTTAACTCAACTTGACTGTTAGTAGTCTTTATTCTTTAGCTTTCTTTTTGGTTTAAGGTAAATTGGAATGAGAGACCACCACACAATAATTCGTACAGCGCTCTCGTGGAAACAACTACGTCAATTACCAAACATCATTCAATCTGTATGGAACCTTTAATCGAAGAAATGGACTCTTCGGATAATACATTTTCGTACGAATATAGAAAGGTATGATGGTCGTTAAAAATTATTAAAACAATACCTAAACAGTAAACACAAAGGTTATCGCAATAACAATTAATAAATAAATAATCACAAACAAATTAGAGATGACCAAGTGTATACAACAATTATCGGTAAAACGTATGGTTCCAATATCCAATGTGCCATAAGGAAACATAAATAAATCAATTTTTTATATATTAAAAAGGTGAAAAATCGTTGTTTGGTTTTACGTAGTTTTGATTTAAATTAAGCATTATGCATTACCTCTTAAAACTGATGTTTATACAAAATATAAGGATAAAATATTTGTTTCTAAATTCAGTATCACCTACACAAATAAAATATTGGAATATATATATAGAGAAAATAATAAAATCACATTTGCTTATATAAAAAAAATTACGTTTTCATTACAATACTATTTGCTTACAGTTAAGAACCTGAGTATAATATCATAATATGGAATCGATAGAAGACCCTTTTACCGTGTAACCATTGATATTATGTTTATTATAACGCGTCTCTAGACTTCAGATAATCCGACCCTTCTAGGCTTGGCTTTACTTGTTGCTTGCTAAACTTCAGTTATTGTTAATACATTTAGGACGACGAGCAGACGCTGTTAAATCGTAAGACGAAGATATCGCCATCAATCACTAAAGAAAACATCAAGCCGGAAAAACGGTCTAGTAAAAATTTGTAAGTATAAAATACAACAAACACAAAATACTGAAATCATAATCCGTTTACTGCACTTGCGATTGGCAAAAAGTTCTAATTTTTTTTCAATACTGTAGATTTAACACGCTATGGCGGATGTCCAGAGGTAGGTCGAAAATCACTTGCAGCGAAGTTAAGCTCAGCTCGAGTTTTATACGGAAACGACACGTAAGTACACTGCTAGGTATATCCTCGAAAAATCTCAACCGCTGCCTTTTTTTTCTCTCTTAATCCGAATATAGCCTCAGAGTTACTCTAGTCCGTCATTTTGTTTTTTAAATCGCCTTCAAAGTTGTAACCTTCTAGCGATGTACAAAACAATAATCAGAATTTTACTATTTTATTTTTTTGTTTTATAAAAATACTAATAACACTACGTCAATTTTGAAACCAGTTCTGAATTTAGCAAAGAAAATACAATAAATAACAATTTTAAATCAATATTAAAAATACTGAAAGGTACAAAAAAACACTAATAAAAAGTACAGATGTTTTTTAACGCTACTTTTTAAGACTACAATGAGCTTGAGACTATATAAAACAACTACCCTTACAAGACAAATTCCGAGACTGGATTTAAAGATTATTTATTGTGGTTATTGTTCCAATAAAAATCATCTTATTTTTTGTATACAGTGTAGTGTACTAATAAGGAGTAAGGTACCTGTGTTTACAATTGTAATATTTATTTTAAAAAAGAGCCTCGTCGTATCGTACTCTCTATGAAACAACATATTGATATTTATTTTACTCGATAATATTTGTTGATGAGTGTATATTTTACTGATAGCCAATGTTTATGACTAATAGTCGTTTGATACTTACGAAAAATTGTTTATGATAAATTATATTGTTAAATAGTCACATTCGTATAAATAATATTAATGGGTTATTTTTTGTTTCCAGATAAAGTCTGACAAGACCAAATTGAATAAAGAAATTAAACTCAATCTAGTTGAAAGTGTTTACCTGATGCTTTTCGGATAATACTATACTACGGTAATACTACAGACTGATTTTACTTTTCACTGTCAACAGATACATTAATGACAATTAACAAACATTTATGTGTTATAAACATAACAAAAGAGAATTATAATAATTTTCATGAATATTGTAATTTTTTTTTAAAACTATATCGATTTTTTTTTAACTGTTTAGATTACTAAGATTTGTTTATAGGTGACATAATATGTATAATACCAATTCTGTGATCACATGTTATCTTCTGTTTGTTATATTACCTATATATTTTTTCTTTGATTAAAAAAAAAAAATTACAATTTTTATACACTTGGTATAATTTACATTTTATAACATAATATTATTTAAAACATTCAAATATTTTAATATTCCATTTTTTAAAAATTACACTTTTAAAATCAACTGTTTGTTTTTTAAGTTACTAAACTTAGCCTTATTTTCCCAATGTTCTAATCGTGATTTAAAACGTTGGTGAAATCGAGCTTTATTGTGTGTAGTAAAATAGTAAAATAACATAATACCATAACTAATCAAATTCTAATTGATGCAATTAAAAATAAATTATGCACTTTAAAAATATAACTATTATTTTTATTAGTTTTACTTACCTACATATTTTATATTAACTAACTAATTTAAGTTTTTTACAAATCTGGTTTTTTTTTTTAATGCAATTCATAATCAAAATATCATTGCTTTTCTTTAATTTTAAAATAAAGCAATACTTATATGATAAAAAATACATTCTAAGAACTAAAACATAGCTACCTCAACATTTTGTTACTATACTTCATACTTGTTAAGTATAACTTAGTTATATTCAAATAATACTTTTAATGTTTTCATTACAGTAGTTTTAATATTATTATAATTAAATCAGTCTGAAATATGTTTAATGATATTATGAAACTGTTTGTTTTTAATATATACATATGTTTATTTTCATTTAAATCTTTTTTATTCTAAATAATATATTTGTCTTTTATAAATTTATTGTTTATAAATAATTTAGATTTTGTTATTTATTAATATCACTATTATTATATTTTTTGAACTTGTGTACAAATAGTAAAATAAACAACATAAACATTTAAGAAAATATTCTACACGTGATTTTTAAAAAATCAAATTGCCAATTACACAATGGAAGACCAAGGGTTTAACCATTTAAGATTACATTGTCTTTCAACGGTTTCTCGATCAACTCGTTTTTCGAGTGTTTCAAAATTGTCAGTAGCTTCTAGTTGTTTAGGGTCTGGGCGGAAACGCTGTGATACTCTAAATACTCCATCGGTGCCCAAATAAGTACCCCAATAATCTCCATCTTTAGGTAGTCCATCGGGAGTTTGGAGAGGTAAGATTTTGATGAGATGTTTAACTTTCCATAAACGAGCACACATCTCTGGTGTATTTTTAACGATAGCGATATCACTCGACTAAAAACAAAAAGCAAGTACATCCATTTAAATTTATTTAATAATAATTGTTAACAATCATTAATTTGTTTACCTTGTGATCTAATCCTAAATCAGTCAAAATTTTCTTTTGCCAATACGGATTATACATGTATGATTTCGTTCTTTGAACCATTAACAGTTTTGTTGGTTCATATGGTGGATCTTTTTCACCTTTTCTGTAACAACATACATTTAATTTTTGTTAAAAATTCATTGTATACAATGTTTTTCAATTATGATTACATACAAACATAAAACACCTAACACAATAAATTATTATAAAACATCCAGTCATTGTATGAAAAATTAAAAGTAAATGTCTCATTGTCAGTGAAATAACAAACAATTTTAAATACTCGCATCAACACGATGACTTAAACCACTTCATAACGCCATTTTCAAAAATATGCTCTACATAAAAAAGCATTTGAGAAATTAAATCTTTAAGTTGTTTGAATCTTTAGAATAGGGTTTGCTTTAAAGCAGAGACGTTAAGCCTAAAGAGAAATTCAACAGAACAACTAAAACAATAATGTAAAAAAAATATTTTCTTTAAAAATTTGACTACAAAGTAAAACAAATACTGTAGTAAGGTACATTATACGCTTTGTATCAGAGTATTTTACCCTATAAAATCATAATCTTTAAATTATATTGTCGGTTTTAAAATATAAAAATGTGGCGCATATCACAACATTGGTGGTTGCGATTATATGTACAGCAATTATCTGTATATCGTCGTTGCCGTAAAAAAAACTCCCATGTGCTAAAACCTAATCGTTCAGGAGACACTAAAATGCGTAAAACTAATTAAAGTAGGTAATACATAGGTTTTATTTTTCATTTATTCTACAATGGAGATTGCAAGTTGGAGATTTTATCATAATATGATAGCTTATTTCTGTATCCAGGAATACCAAAATCTCAAAATCGTAAAATTGGCACATGGAGGTTTTTTGCAGCAACGACGATATATAAAATCAATGACTATATTGAGCCTAAAAGTATACGTTGTATGCTGTTTTATACAAATCTAGATTTTTAAAGCTAATTAATAAAAAAAATGAATCCACAATATACTTAATGTTAATAAGTCTGTAAAAATGTACACTATCTACACTCAAAATAATCACGTTTATCTTTTTCAAAACGTGGTTATTTACTATAATGTATCAAATTACAACAAATACTATTTGTTTACTTTACCTCGGATAATAAGTAAATCCTGGATATTTTATTCCACCTGGCCACGATTTCAGACTGCGTACAAATGTAGTAGTTTGTGATCCACAAATATTAGCATAGCTTATTGATTGTTTGATTATACTTAACATTGTAGTAAAAATAGTGCTTATTACGATTAAACGATGTGAGTAAAGCTGTTATATTATTTCTAAACGTTTTATTAATGCAAAAATTTAACCATATAATATTACAGATATCTGCACATAATACACACAATATTATGATTTTATGCGCTTCACAATTCTTATCACATCTTATCCGGCCGGATAAATGATAACGTATAATGATAACGTTTACAGCCACAGATATATAAATTAGGTTTGTTCGTTTTGACAAAAAGTACACTTTTTTCACACCGACCGTAGAATAGGTGTGATACCTAATTTTCAGTGTTGGTCGTTATCATATTTCTTATCAACTAATATCAACAAATTTTTATGATCAATTCTACTATCAATAGAAATAAATTATAAGTTGATTAATCTACACCAAAACGTTTGCTTTAAAATACCACACCGGATGACACCCCTTTCACTTGACCCAGACACTGCACCAAATAAGCTACACTTTATTTTTAAAACGAACAAAGCTATTGTCAGCCAACTCCAGCGTTATCAGTTGCCGCTTAATAAGGCAAAAGCACGATGTAGAGAAGATCGTGGGCAAAAGCGTTTATGGAATTCACCACTTTAGCGTTAAGCGCTATAGGTTATATATACAATTGTGAGGTTATACTCCATGGCGGGAGGTCCATTTCATTTCAAATCAAAACGCGAAGACCCAATATTATTCGGCATACTTAATAATGTAATTTCAAATTCCAATACCTACACATTAATTTATATTAGATCATTAAAGTCGTAAGCCAATCTAATGCTTCTTCGTATGTAAACTACAAATATTATTATTTTCAGAATTAATCAATTAAATCCTATCCATGATAATACAAAAAAAATTATTGGTATTATAAAACAATTAATATTATATTTTTTTTTAAATATTGTAGCTGCTCATTGTTGTCACCGGTTAGTTTAGATTATATGTATGTATAATACTTTATGACAATATTTTATGTTATGTAAGTTTTGAAGTTAGGTTTATGAATAAAATATTAAAATAAATAAAAATTATTTTATTTTATATTACAACTATTAATTTAAGAATTGGAAAATGATTACTGATGGATTAAGAGGTGTAGCTATAAGTGGATTTGATACAAAAAAATATTTGACTACTACATTTTTAAAGAACCTCAAATCTGGAAAAATGAAATAAAACATATGTTTTAAACATTTAATACCGTAGTAGATGGGAATCGTCCAGAGATCTAAAATCAATGACTACTCTACGAATTTTATTTTCGTAGATTTTAGTATATTTTTTATTTAGTGCATATTATAACATAAAAAAAATGAGCAAAAAAAATCTAGGATATGATTTAAAATTATATCATCTTTCGATTTCACAACGGGTGCTTTTGCTTTAAAATCACTATGGACCGATAAAAACTCATTAGGCTATGACTATGTTTAGGGGGTACGAAAGAAGCTATTTATTAAAGGGCAAATAATAGGCAATATTTTTTTTAAAAATTGATCAAGTGTCATTTTAAGCAAGCCCCCTAATTTGAAGGTAAAAAATATAACGTTTTTCTAGGTACTAAACTTGATTTTTTTTTAAATTTAGCAAAAGTGATCAAAAATAATTTTTTTTCAGAAATCAGGTTTGGCATTACTATTGGGTGGATTTCAAATTTGTTTGGTTTTTATATGAAGCTTACTACTTACTCGATGGGAGCTAATAAGCCTAATTGTTATTTAACTATAAAAAAAACTAAAAATATAAACGCTTATAATACGATTTTAAGAACAATAATAAACAATCGGCCTATTTGACTCTAGAATAGATGTTAACTTTAAAACAAACAAAAAGGTTTTAAAACCTAGTGGACACCTTTGAATGTGAATTCGCGTCTTAGTATTTATTTGTAAAACAGTAGTCTACTTCCGTTTATTCTAAATGAAACAAATATATTTAAAACCACTGTCAAGGGTGCTGTGATAGTCCGATAGTCGGACTATAACAGCTAGTCTGTGTAGTAGACATTGTAGATAGTGCTATGGTGTTTAATACTAATTAATTCTAACGTATAATATGATTAACATAAAAGTAATATTTAAATAAATCTACATTAGTTTTAATTTTTTTATTTTATGTATTCAATTTAAGTCTTTTGAGTTGATTAATTACTTTACAAAGCCTTAAAAATGGTATCTATTTATTTCATATTTTATTTTTTTTAATTTTTAAACAATAATAATTTATCTATATTGAGATGAAAATTTAAAAACGTTCCTTAAAATATTATTCGAGCTACGCTCTTGCGTACAACGGTAGGGCCTTTGTACCCTTTATGTTCACTATTGTTCTGTAATTGATCAGATAACGAATATATATTTCTAGGTAAATAAAATAAATAAACTCAATTATTGATAAACACAGAAATATTTGCGATTCTGCAGATTTCCTTTGCCATTTCGAATCCGGGTTACTAGGCTATTAGTATCTTATTTAAAAACTACATTGCTCCATTTTAATGTATAATTGGAATGTTAGGCATGCTAAATCTATATGTATCGTATTAGTAACTCAACTGAATTACTTAAAATTAAATTGAAGTATAAGCTGTGGCGTACATTCAACCCCCCCCCTCCCCGTATGTACGCCAATGAGTGTAAGATTCCAATGTTTAATATTATTTATTAACAACTAAAGTTTAAATTTATTTTCTAATCAAATTTTAAGTAAAACAATATTACAACTGTATAATATAACATTAATTTTAAGAAAGTGATGGTGGAATTAGAATAATTTACTGTTTTAGTCGCGTTTTGACTTACAAATCGCTATTTATTTGAAAAATAAAGCTGTTGCGTGGGTCACCTCTAACCTTGATTTTAACTTTGTATACAACTGCAGTCAAAACACATCCGGCATACCTATTCTTATCCGTTCCTTCAATTTAGTCCATTTGCGTCATTTTAATTGACGAATTAATTTTAATCAGTCATGATTCACCAAACCTATTCATACTAAATATCCCAATTGTTTGTGTACATTTAAAATTAATAGACGTCATTATGATTGTCAATTATTTATATCGTTATTATTTAGATTTAGTTCTATAATATTAGATTATTTATTTAGGTAATTACTAATTATACAACAAACCTTTTAATCTAGTTACAAATTAATAGCTTTGAGTCGAAAAGTTAAAAACACAAATCAAATATTTACTTACCCATAAACATGAAACAACGTTCTCGTACTATTAGGTATAATTATTATAAGTACCTATAATAGAGAGTGTACTGTATGGAATACGCCTAATAAAGTTAAAATTCATAAAGCTATAGTATATAAATACATTATAAATTCAGATAATTTAGGCTAGATGAAAATGTATTATTATATAATTAATTAATTAATAGGTATGTTAAATTTCTGTCTAGTCACAATAATTTAATTTGATCGTCCTTACCATTCAAGTAAACAAACAACATTTAATTTAATCAGTTTGACCTTTAATGTGTTTACTACATAGAACGGGTAATAAATACTTTCAAAAGGCTTGTTGTCAGTTGTTTTCTTATTTTATATTAATCAATTTTTTAATGTTAAATTTTCGTAATTTATATTTGAGTTACATTTAAAACATTGAAAAAAATTGGAAATATTTCATAATTTGTTTTGTACTTTCTTATTACATTATAATATGTGTGTTCATACAATATACGTTTTAATCTCATTTTAGGCACACCAACGTTATCTTTATAAAATATAATAATTACGTGATCACTGTTCAGCAAGTTCATTAGGTTTAACAAATTGAAAATATACCTATATATTTACTTAATACGCTTTAAGCGCTTTTATGTTGTTTTTTTTATACTATGAAATGTGCAATGACTGATAAATATTTTAATTCCATGGTGATGTTCTAGCTTTTGAGTTTAGAAAATTTATATTTAACATCATATGATAAAACTAAATTAAAAGGATGAACATGGTGTACAATAAATAACGCATTACCCTCTCCTTCTTCCGCAGGAAGAAAAAAATTAAGTTATGTTTAATATTATACTTGTTTTACCCAAAATTATCATTCAGCATATGAACAATGTTTTTTTAATTTTTTATTAACAAAAACTAATTCTGGATGTAGTGATGAAAATAAATTATAATTGACCAACGCTATAAATCTATTTTCTTGTGAATGTGTTTATGTAATTGTACGACCATTTTAAATTACCTTAACTATGTATATATTAATATATTTAGAATTTCCTAAAATATTTAGAAATTGTTCAAATATCTACCTCGAGTTGTAACGATTAATGTTGTACAAAATTTATTTATGGTTTTAGCCTCGATGTGGAGATGATAAGATTGGTTTTACAATAGTGGTTTTTATTTTTTTCATAATTTTTTTTTTTTGTCTAACCCATGATTGTTGGGTCAAAAATTAAAAAACTTCACCCCTTCTTCTTCAAAATTGAGAAACACCCCAAAAAATTAACAATTTATAAAAATTACAACGCCTTATAACTTGTTTAAAAATAATCAAATTATTTTTAAATTTCTATGGAATATTCTTTAGGTAAATGAAACGTTACGCGTTTCAATCGTTGCCACGTGTCGTTCAACAGCCGTTGTCTGATGCCGCCGATGCTGCTGAAACGCTGAACAGGGATTATTGAGGGATGATGTCCACCACTAGAGGACACGGTATAGCATTCTGTTATATTAACCATAAACACGACTCCAATAAACGATGTTTTTTACATAAGTATACAACTGTGTTCGAGGAGTATTAATTATTTTTTTATTATTTTTATAATTTATTCTAAAAAAGAAGCAAGACCTACTTCGTCTAACGGTGTTCGTAACCTTTATAACCGTGATCGCGGGATATATGTATAATATATACATATTATATTATATTATGAAATAATAAAATGGATAAAAACGACAAATACGAACGAACGTTTGGAGCGACCTTTGCGGATTTTTTTGAAAATTACACTGCATGTCTGTTACGATGTAAAGAATGTTCTCAATTTTTTTTTCGATTATTTTAACTATAGTCGTAAAAAGTATTTTTCGTTTTTTTCTTGACACTTCTTATTTATGGTTTTTTTTTTAAGTATCTTCGGCCATCAAAACAAATTTAAAAATCAATTTATGATGTAAAATAATCTCAGCTTTCTGAAATAATATTAATGTATTTTTTCGATTAACAGAAAGTCATTAAAATTGAGTATATAATCTAAAAATGTTAAATAATACATATTTAATCGAATATAAAGTGTAATG